CTTCTTCTCAGAGTAGGAATTGGATCCAGAGCACCATCAGAACTAGTTGGAATTCTTCTTCTTAGAGTAAGAATTCGATCCAGAGCAATATTAAAATTAGTTGGAGTCCTTCTTCTCAATGTAGGAATTGGATCCAGAGCACCATCAGAACTAGTTGAAATTCTTCTTCCTAGAGTAAGAATTCAATCCAGAGCACTATCAGAACTACTTGGAATTTTTCTTCTCAGAGTAGGAATCGGAGCTAGAGCACCTTCAGAATTATTTGACATTCTTCTTCTCAGAGTGAGAATTCGATCCAGAGCACCATCAGAATTACTTGGAATTTTTCTTCTCAGAGTAGGAATTGGAGCCAGAGCACCATCAGAAATAGTTGAAATTCTTCTTCTTAGAGTAAGAAATCGATCCAGAGCACTATCAGAACTACTTGGAATTTTTCTTCTCAGAGTAGGAATCGGAGCTAGAGCACCATCAGAACTATTTGACATTCTTCTTTTCAGAGTGAGAATTCGATCCAGAGCACCATCAGAATTAGTTGGAATCCTTCTTCTCAAAGTAGGAATTGGATCCAGAGCACCATCAGAACTAGTTGGAATTCTTCTTCTCAGAGTCGGAATTGGAGCCAGAGCACCATCAGAACTAGTTGGAATTATTCTTCTAAAAGTGAGAATTCGATCCAGAGCACCATCAGAATTAGTTGGAATCCTTCTTCTCAAAGTAGGAATTGGATCCAGAGCACCATCAGAACTACTTGGAAGTCTTGTTCTTGGAGTAGGAACTGGAATTAGAGCACCATCAGAACTAGCTGTAGATAAACCTTGTGATCGAGTTCTCATATGTGTCAATATTTTCAAAAATCTTCTATCTTTCAAATCCAACCTTTAACATGACGCATCTACTGTATACGCAAACTACCCAGCCTTACGCAAAACATTGTTGCCAAAATACTATTCGCAATACCTTCCGCTGTCAGGTTGCAATCATATAAATACCTTGTAAACTAGTAAAACCCTCGCTGTTAAAAAGTAACTCTGTACGTGAATAAACGTGTATATACTCAAACTACTCTTTTCAAGTAAGTCATCTTTTTTTCATAGAAGTGTTAATAAGAATGAAAAAGAGGTTTTTTAGTCTTTTATTGAAGTACGTTTTTTAAGTTACTGACATACTAGACATGATCACATATGGTTAAGAGCACATAGATAAGAAGTTTCCATGTAGTTGGAAAACATAAACGGTGCTCAAATGATGCATTTATATTTACAATGTAACCTTGCAATAATGAGCTTGGACATACATTGTATAAGAACTATTGTAATTAATTTGCCATATAAATGGTATAATTTCAATACAAATACTGCTCAATACAGCATCAATTAATGTGCAATGTATCCTTGCAAATAGTGAGCTTGGATGTACATTGCATCTAAACTAGATTGAATAATTTCCATACAACTGGACAATTATCAATGAATACAGCATACAAATCTATTCCTGCAATGTATCTTTGCAATAATGAGCTAGAAATTACATTGCAGAATAAAAGAGCATTTTAAAGATTAAAGGAAGTTGTGAACAATCCCTTTAGTGTTGAATCCCTTCAGTATACAGTTGGAAGGTTATAAAGCACGTCCCTTTAGTATCAGGGCAAGTTAAGGCGTTTCTGGAACAGTCCCTTTAAGTCTTTATAGCTATATAGGGTTGATGAGTCCCTTTAGTTTATACAGCTATTTAGGATGTTTTCTTGAACAATCCCTTAAATTGTAGCTATCCAGGGTGTTTCTTGAACAATCCCTTAAATTGTAGCTATCCAGGGTGTTTCTTGAACAATCCCTTAAATTGTAGCTATCCAGGGTGTTTCTTGAACAATCCCTTAAATTGTAGCTATCTAGGGTGTTTCTTGAACAATCCCTTTTAATGCTAGTGTAAATAGGCACTTAATATCATCACATGGGGGAAACCTGAGAATCTCAGTGAGACATATAAGACATCTATCTGATATTCCTGTCTCGAGAAATTGATATAAAACTGTGTCAAAATTATACCTAAACATTTTTCCTTTACAGTCCCTTTAAGGTTTATTTTTATAGACAGGTTTGGGTAGTATATGAGCATCTATTCTATTTTTGGTATAAAATCATAAAAAGCATTAATTACAGTTTAAAGTGAAGGTTTTATTCAGGGGTTCATCACATAGACCTCATAGCTCCTCTAGTTTTTATTTAACAAACAAATATGAGAAATTCATTTGGTACTCTACACTAAAGCCCACTGTCTATTTGGTCTAAGTACTGCAGATCACTGGTGTGCGCACTATAAGCTTAGCTTTAGGTGTTAGTAAGGTATTAGTAATTCCAAAACATTTTTGTGTTTCTCACAAATAAAATTTAATTAAAGAAGTTATGATTGAAAACATTAGATTTCAATCTTGTGTTTAATTTACCTTATCTTGGCGTCGAGAGTTTTTGTGTGTAAAAATGTGCGTATGTGAGATGGGGTGTTTGTGAGTGTGTATTTGTTGATGATGATTAAAATAAAAATAAAATTGATTATTATTATGATAATTAAAGTAAAAAATTATTATAGATGTAATAGTTATTATAACAAAGTGAAAAGAAATAAATAAAAATATATTTATAAAGGCACAGATTAAGTTNTAGTTTCAAACACTCCCTAAACCAAGCTGTGTACTGCAGTGGCCAAGAGGTTGTGTTTATCTTTAGGCTCCTATTATTTGATTTTGTTATCTTAGTTACATATTGGTTTAAACCAAGATCTTTGTTTATTTGATCTAATAGAATTCATTAATTAAAATATCTAAGGTCTACAACAGGGGTTGCAAAGATAAAGGGATTAGAAAATTATAGTGATTGTCATGTAAAGACTCAATTCCTTAATATAAAACTAGATTGATAACCAAGCTTTGCACAAGGTACTGATTGTTTACCCGCACTTGGTCGTAAATTATGATTTTGAATCTTAAAACCAAACTCAGACCATTTTTGTGGTTCTCCCGAATTCCACAATCAAAATTTGAGGCAAATCGATCAAGGGGTTCATGAGTTATGGTAAAACATACAAACAACCAAATAAACAGAGATTACAACTTTATAAATATAGATATGTCTATTTTTAAAGTTTATTATTTCTTCTTTTAATTGAGAAAACCCAAAGTTCCCTGTTCTATTGTAAAGAAATAAAAATTCCAATTATATTTATTTAGAAAAAGAGATAATTTTGATACAGATTAAACTTTTAGAAAATTATACCAATCACATTGGGGTTGAAGGAAATCAAAACTTTTTATTGTACCCAATCCGGGGACTATTATTTTCTGAAACTACATGTCTCTATGGAACTAATGAGCTATACAACCAAATTCCCCTATGAGGATTTTAAGAATAAATCGATTTTTAAAATTGTTAATGAATTAAGGCTCAAATCCTATTGTTGGAGAAATCCAGAATTATCTAAATTCCTTGTTTTTTGGCATGCTTTTCATTATTCATTGCCTTTTATGTACCAAAAACTTGAAATGCAAATTCAGGCATTATTTTGGGGTTCACAATGATGTTTCCAAAACTTTGTAGAGGCATGTTGTTTCAGAAAATAAAAGTCCCCGGGTTGGGAAAAAAAAGTCTAGATTTGTAATTGCTTTAAAGCCAATCTTTGATAGATAGTTCATAGTAATAATAACAAAGTCCAGCATTACAATATTCATCAGCTGGACAATCATCATTGGTTGAGCATAGTGTAGGTTCACCACTTGGTATGCATTTGCCTCCTTGCTCACAGTTGTCCCCAGAGGAACAATCATCAGAAGTTGTGCAGTCTAAAAATTAATATAAAAATAATTTAATTTTAAGTTTTATTTGTCAACGAAGTTTCAATATGATAAAAATTAGAATATTTACCTTGAAATGGAGTGCATTTCTTCTCTCTCTTCTCATCATTATCTAATGTGCAGCGCTCTCCATATAGACAAGCTTGGTAGGTATTACAAATATCAACACACTCACCATTTAAACATTGTTGATAGTCCATACAATCTGAACTTACATTGCAATCTAATCATAATTATAATGAAAGATTATAAGATTAATGTGTTTACGATATTAACATACATTTTCCACATAGAGGTATATGCTTGTTTGTTTGGCATGCTGGATCACTATTACATGTGAGTTCAAGAAACTGAGGACTGCAGGGTTTAAAACATAATTTTTCTTGACTACACATTTCATCTGTTTCACAATCCAGATGACTTGTGCAAACTGAAACAGATATTGTGTCATGAATATATTTTTTAAATAGAGGTACTCAAGGTAGAGCTAGGCAAAGCTCTTCAAAACTGAGGCTTTCCAAAGTAAACGGAAGAGTCTGTTAATTTTTTAACTGTTAACCAAACGGATTTGCCGTTTTTGAAAACAAAATTAAACATTGAAAACAAAAAAATGTTGGATTTTGCTTTTTTCTGCTTAAAATTGCATGAAACTTTTTATTTTTATGTGTTTTGATGTTTTAAAATGTTGTCTTCTGTATTCACAAACTTAAATGCTTAAAGTAAAGATTTCATAAAACGTTAATGAAATTTGTTTTTGGCGCTTGGCATTGCTAATGCCTAACAGACTGTTAACAGCTGTGCTGTTAATAATTTTATTAACCGTGAAAGGCTGAAGCCATTAACGGTTGTTGAAAATTTTCTGTTAACAACGCTAATAAAATTTAGATCAAAACGGCTTGAAATAATTGGAACATGCTCAGGCCTAAATCAGGGAAGGGAGTTCTAAGGCCCCGGCCCCCCCCCCTCTCTGGATCATTATAATCTTAGGTTTCCAGGAGGTTTTTAGGCCCCAACAGAAACTGAATCAATGGGTGGATTTTTGTTAAACAATTTTTTGTTAACTAATAATTTGTCAAGTTACCTAAAATGTTAGTTACCAAATTATTAGTCACCAAAAAGGCCCCCATTTCTGAGCCCCCCACCCCCTTGACAAATTCCTGAGTATGCTCCTGATATATAAAATTAAAGTTGTCTTTCTAATTTTGTAGTGTTAGGATGCATGTGGTAAAATGCTTACTCTTCCTGCATGTTTGGACAAAATCTTTAGTTGCACATATCTCTCCAATGTTACATGGATTTGATGCACAGGGGTCATAACAAAAACCATTGTCAGCACTACATTTCTGATCTTGGTTACACATATCCTTCTCAGAAAGAGTGCCATCGGGAAATCTGCATGCTGGAATACGATATGAATTATAATTATATCCATTATATTTATATTTATATTTATATTTATATCTAAAATTTCAATTAGATTATCAATGTTACTTTGCTTACTTGAGAAACATCTAGGCTCATGATTATTTGTCCTGCAATCATCATCAGACCGACAATAATCTAGACTGCAGGGATCAACACAAGCTCCGTCTGAATCACACCACTCGCTGTTTCTACAATCAGAATGATCCTTGCAACCTAAAAGTATTGAATCATGGTTTTATCTTCTGTTTTTAGTTGTCTTCTAAAGATGATCAAAATACGACTTACTTTGGAGGCAAAGTTGCTCATAATTGATTACTTTGCAGACCATATCATCATTGCAAGGATTGGTTTTACAGGGTTCATAACAATAGCCCTCTTTAGTACACAATTCATTTTGGTATTGATCACACTCAGTATTATCTGCACAACCTAAAATAATAAACTGTGGTTTAATTTCAAATGTCCTCTACATTACATGATTACATTGTAGTTGGAATGCTTACGATTGGGGCAAGCTTGCTGATGATTAGTTGTTAAACAGAATTCATCATTTTGGCATGGACTGACTACACAGGGATCAAAACATTCTTCCTGATCAACATTGCAGGATTCATGGTTCATACAATCACTGTTACTTGTGCAACCTTAAACAGTGTATTACATCATGGTTTTACTCAGTATTTCTCATTGTCTTCTATAAATTATCAATGATAAACTTAAACCTTTGTGAAGTACTATCAAAGTTGAGTGTCATTAAAATTTAATTGATAAAATTTCTTCAGAATCCTTTACATTTTAAAACTAAAAATCAACTGAGAAAGTTCTGACTGTCATTACAAGAAGTAAATTAGGAAAGATTTCAGGATTTGCCTTTCTTTTAAGAAAATTGTTTATTCTTTGCTCTGACAAGTTATATCTATATAATAAAACAAGACATTCATAAGACATTCACCGGGGGTATAAAGGCTAAAAAAATTCTAAACTTTAAAAAAAGAAATTTAATTTTTTTCAAAATTTTTTTTTTCACGGGTAACGCCGGGGCCCTTAAGCTCGTAACAAAGAATAAAATAGTAATAATTTCATTTAAACCATGATTAATGTAAGTGTCTCACCTGTAAAACATTGTGATTTTAAATCATTAGCACCCGTACTGAAGCAAAATGTTCCTGAAGAAACCATTTCAGCGCAAATGTCAAATCAAAATGCACCAGCGAAAAATTATTCAGTAGCATAAGAGAAGCAACATTCAGTTAAAAAATCAAAACTGGTTCTGTGATTATTGAAATAAAAAAAATAGATCCTGGGACATTGAGATGTGTAAAAGTGTTTGCTTGGATTTTTATTTTTCTAGTTTGTTAAAGATCAAAATTAAAATATTTTCACACAGAACATTGTCAGTTGTGAAAATACTTTGATTTTTATCAAAAACAAACTAGAAAAAGTAAAAATTACAACAAAAACTTTTTTGCACAAATGATACTCATTACAATAAAAAATATAGTTTTATTCAATTTTACTCAAAAGGTCAATAACGTTACTTTATCACCCTGTTGTAGGTTGATAAAGTAACTTTATCATCCTACAACAGAAAAAATTAAGTATGAAATTAGAAATTTTAACAGCAGGATAAAAAAGTGCTACTTTACGCCCTGTTGTAGGGCAATAAAGTCACTTAATTACCCTGCAACAGAAAACATTAGGTGTGATAAATTCCCTCAAAATTGAATACAAAAGCTTTTTTCCCTTACAATTTTTCTTGATTTTTAAGGAATTTTACAATTCTAACATTTCTAAGTTCAGTGTTTCCAAAGTGTGTACAAAGAGAACATGTTCACAATAGAAAAAGAGGATGTGCGCGAAGCGCCCTAATGCCTAGTATTTTAAAACTTCAACTTAACATTACATATTTAAGCTACCAAGTCTTATTTGGCTTTGATAAAATGTTTTTGGTATAAACCCATTGTGTCCCCCCCCTTAAATGTAAAGTGAAAATCTACTAAGTTATGCAAATCATCTTGCTTTGCTTTGAAAAGTCTGAAACAAAGTTTTGATTTAATAAAGAAAATATTTACCATTCCCATCCATCTTGGTGTACAGGCATTTAGACACACACACGTCCGGGAAGGTCAAAGTGAGATTGCCCTCAGGCACCAGGATGTACGTTCCAACTAGTTGCAGGTCTGATCCAGTGACTACCTAATTATAAGAAAAATATTGCTAAAAGGATTTAAATCAAAGGGTAGCAAGCAAAGGGTATTAAGAAGGGGGGACATTGTGGGCTCAGCCCCTCTCTCCGGAACAGTGAAATTTTTGGGTTAAAGGTGGTTTAATGGCCCCCATGGGTGCTGAGCCCTTAGAAAAAAATGAGCCCCCTACTGGAAAAATTTATAATAAGGTGACTGGGAGCACATTAAGAAGAGTTAGTCAGTATTATGCAGTAATAGCTATAGAGCCCATAAAGCTATTACTGGAGAAATTTATAAAAATGAAAATTTTTGAAAGTCTGTGATCACATCAAATTTAATTCTTTGTGGAAGATGACTATCGGCCTCCTTAGACGATCTCCACAACAAGCGAAGATTGGCTTCGCGGCATCGAACTTTTCTAGAATGATCTCAAGAGATGTAATAGATATATATAAACCGATTTAAGATTTATCATTGATTATTATAAGTTAGACTTAAATATATACTGAATTTTTTCTGAACTTTTTTCGCTATAGTGAGTTTCTCTGAACTTTTAAAGTGACTTTAATCAAGATGTCTGAAGAGAACCCTGCTCAATCTTCGACCATTTCGTCAGAAAGGTTGCTGTTAAACTCACGGATTTTTAGACCAACGATCCCGACTTCTGGTTTCTGCATGCTCAGACTGCATTCCGTAATGCTCAAGTGACGCAATCCAGAACTAAATTCGACCATGTGAAGCAGAAGTTACCCCAGAACATAATGGTCTCTGTCCGAGGTTTAATCATGTCGTCTGCCTTGTCCTCCACTCCGTATGAAGACCTAAAAGGCAAGTTGGTTTGTTCATATACTCTTTCAAGATGGCAGAGATTTAGTTAGCTGATCCATCACCCATCTCTCAGCGATCAACGACCCACAGCTTTGATGGACGCCATGTTGGCACTGCTCCATGATGGTGAGGTTCCCGGTAGCTTGTTCCTTGGCTTGTTTCTCGAAAGGTTACCTGTCCAGATGAGAGATCATCTGGTGGCGAAAGATTTCAAGAACCCTATTGAGATTGCTCTACATGCTGACAAACTCTGGGATTTATCATTGATTATTATAAGTTAGACCTAAATATATACTGGTGCAATTTATTCGTGCTTTAATAGAGTCCGTCTTCCTGACCTCTATATCTTCATGTATTTAAGTACAGTGATAACCAGAAAACTCTGTAATAGGAAGACGACTTTCAGATTCTAGTTGTGACTTTAAATAGACCAATGAGCATGGGACACTGCAAGTGCACAGTGAAAACAGACAAATTTCACTTAATTAGTGTCTGGTAAAATTTTTTGCTTTGAAACAACCTAAAATACACATAAGTATTGCTGTAAAGTCGTCTTTCCTATTTCAGAGTTTTCTGGTTATCACCGTATGTATAGAGGGAATATTCTACTTTCCTTAGAAAACTTTCCCACTCCTTTCAGTCGAGAAAATCGTTTTAAACAGTATAGTCTGAATGTACCATTTAAAAAGAAGTTGTATTTTTTTCCTAGTTATACGCTTCCAAAAATATGGAACAACAATTGTCATACTCTTACGTCGAAAAATTATCATTGTTATCATTCTTATAATTATTATTATAAATATTTAGTCAAAAATATTATAATATGTTAAATTCACAAATATTTGTAAAGTTGTCCTAATGCAATTTTCCATATTTTTCAAAACATTATGAAGAAAACCAATGGAACTTAATAACATATAGATAATTTATCATTACAGCAGAATGATTACTTTTTAGCAAGTCTATGATGATAAATCACACCAAGTTGATTTCAGAATAACATAATATTGTATTTAATACAGTTGAATTATACCTATATAAATTACGTTGTCTTTATTAGACTAGCTACGCATTGTGATTAGCTTAACTACGATCATATATATCTGTGCAAATCTTGTAGATATGTATATTAAAGGGAGTGTTCGCGAAAAATGAAAGGGGGTATAGGCATAATGCGATAAAAAAAGCGCTTTTGATCGCTACTAATTTTACTTCTATCTGTTGCGTCTATAAGGAGAAAATTGATAAAGACGTCTCATACCGAAGAGCGAAGCACCCATACAAATTGAGGAAGTTGGAACATACGATTAGACCGTAAAAAAATCAAATTAATATCAAACAAATCATTCAGATATTACAACCCATAGTCATCGATTATCTTTCGCCACATTTGTATATATTTGATATTTCATACTAGTTTTGATTTCGTTTTTTAAAATAATATTTAGCTTACAACTTGTTTTCGAACATTCCTGGAAAATATGAAAATATCGTCTTCATTACTAAAAATCCTCGAAACAGGAATAAATATTTTTATAAGTAACTCTCAAATCATAACAATTAAAACATATTATGAAAAATCAACTATATATAAATGTGGCGAAAGATAATCGATGACTAGGTTGTAATATCTGAATGATTTGTTTGAAATTAAATTGATTTTTTACGGTCTAAGTCGTATGCTGCAATTTTCTCAATTTGAATGGGTGCTTCGTGTTATTCGGTATGAGACGTATTTAACAATTTTCTCCTTATATTATCCATTATCAAATAGCAAATCAGAGTTCAGAATGTTGTTAAGCTAGATGATTATACAGGGTTTCCCAATAAACATGGGAATTCAGTTTACAATTTGTTTCACTATGTTTTGACTGCATACGGTTGTACATGGTAAAACAGGAAAATTACAGTATACAAACAGAGTAAACTTGTCAGACTTCACTGTTCATCTTGCAGAGACATTATAGAAACATCTTTACAGTTCATCAAATAAACTATAGCAGGCATAATAATATTATGCCTTCTGAAATCATGCATTACAATGCTAATTCATAACAAAGTTTATATCGAAATTATCACTGAATTCCCATGTTTATTGAGACACCCTGTAGTACAACAAATATTTGCTCGTGTAATAAAACTTTATATAAGCAAAGGAGTTGAGTTTTTGCCACAAACTCTGATTTTCTAAACTCTATATCTTTCCAACCCAATGCCGTAGACCTTAGATATTTAAAACTATTAATACTTATAAATAAAATAACCTAAGTTTGAAATATCAAAGGTTTGCACCATAAGGTTGCAAAGATATTGGAATCAGAATATTTTAGTTTGTGGCAAAAACTCAATTCCTTTAAACAAATTAAGGCACTTTCTTAATAATAATTAAAAAAGCTTGGGTCCTAAACAATTACAAACAAAGAATTTCTTTGGGGGATCATTCTGGAATTTGTTGGCTTAAATTTTTCTTTCTATGGGGGTGGGGGGGCTAAGCAACCATTTGGGCCCAAAAAATGGCGAGCCGCCATAGCCCCCCCCCCCCTGTAATACTCCTCTAGATTTCTTCACCTTTTTCGGGCAGCACTGGGAGTTAATCATCCCGAGCATGATATTGATGGAGAAATAGAAAATAGAGAATGTTGTAGATTTCATCTTTGTAGATTGAAGTCTTCAGAGAAAGTGAATCTATTGTTCAATTTAGCTTACTATGAAAACTATTTTGAAAAATTTCAACCAATCAAAACTTGTTATTGCATTAATATAGGCTGGGTTTTAGAGTCCAGAAATGTAAGGCCAATTCTTTAAAGACTAATTCTAACTCTAAGATTTCGAAAATCTGAATGTTGATATTTATTAAAATCATCTTGCTTGCTTCCGTGCTTGAGTTTGCTTAAATATCTTTTTTGGTTTTAATTATAAATCGTTTGTTCTTTTTTAGAAACAATAAGTCAACATTGATTCTGTATTTCAACACAGTAGGATAGACAACTTAATCGGGCCAATTGTATTAGATTTTTCAACAAAGGCCCAATGAAAATAAAACCGACCTTGGTCATTGTTGAGTCTTGTTCTCACAAAAGCCCGGAATGCGCCAATTCCTATCATGAAAATCCGCAAAATCCGATTTTTTTAAAACTCAACTCTATGTGTGGAAAATAAGATGCAGCTTGAATTCGAAAGCTCAAGCCGTAAATAAGGCCCAAACAGCTCGGACCCGAGCTGTATCTTCCCAAATTTTGTTAATCGTGGGCTCAGGAAAAATATTGAATACAATGTTCACATAACAGTTTCGACGTTTTGGGCGTAACATTTTGCATTTGGTTCTTTTTATCAGACATTTTGTTTTAATGGGTGTTTTGTTAAACGACATTTTTTACCCACCTCACAAGAACACTCAAACAAATCTGTAAAACTTTTGATAAAAACAAGCCTTTCATTGCGCTGGATTGTCCTTAGAAATAGTTATTTTTCGTTTAAAAAAATCATTCCTTCGTTCTCAAAATAATCATTAATTTTCCATTTATTTCGTTTGTTTCCTTTCTGAATGAGCGTTTAGTAAAACCGTTTGTTCAATAAAAATCGATAGTTTTTTGTTTGTTTCGCAACCAATCCATGTAAAAACTTGTCCCCAATATGGCTATGAAGAATAAGAAGGCAATTTTCTATATTTATTAATCTCAAACAGGTGTTTCATGCTGATAATACAGAATATTAGAATTATCAATTTAAAGTAACAAAAATATAACTAATTGTTGACGGAAAACAGCAACACACTAGACAAATTCGAATAGTAGGCCAGTTAGGATACTGGTGGGGGATGTTTATTATCCCCAGACAATTCTTTCCCCGATGGCCGAACAATACACACACAACAGAGTAACCCCGTCTCAGAAATTCGATAACAAAATCTTTATTTCCTAAAAAAATAACATAAATTATAGGTCATGTTTAATTGTACAATGTTATAATGAATGTTAATAGTAGAAAAAATCTTACGAATTATTTAAGGATAGAAGTAGGGATAGTTGAGAGGGCTGATTTGGAGATGAGGCTGAGTTGACAACCAGTGTCATACTGGATTCCTATTGGAGAGTTGCCCAGTGATATGGTCTCTACCAGAGGAACAGACTTGTCGGCGCTGACCTTGGAGACAGAGACGAAGGGGGCCTGGTTGCTGTGCATGCAGGCGCGCCTATGCACAGGGGTTCCTCTCTCCATGCAACCCTTGGGACATGCTTTGGGGGCACCACTGAGGTATGTAGATTTGCATTTGTAGTTCCTCCCATGTGTTTGAGCACATAAAAAACAGAGGTTGTTTTCAGCCAACAATTTGAGGATTTCAGGTGAACTCAGTTTAGTGACGCCGCAGTTTCTGGTGAGGGAGAAATGATTGTTTTCAAAACCCATGATTGAACAGATTGTGCAGGGCTTTGGGGGAAAATATCGTGGTGGGTCAGCAGGGCGCGGAGGTTGAGGTTTGGGTTTGGAGGCTTCTTGTCTGACTACATTGATCCCCACACTGGAGGGGTTGATGTCGAGGTCGTAGAGGTAAGGAGTGGATCGATAATTCTTTTCTAATTTTTCCACGAATGTAGCTAGGAAAAAGAACGTAGCTGGAGGTCGGACATTGGCTGGACACTGGTCACGAAATTTGGAGAATTGATCGTTGAAGGAGGGTCTCACTTCAAGAGGTAGGCTCTTCATGATGTTTTGCACTAGGGTTTGAGTGAGGGCGACACTGTGAAGGTCTTCCCTGTCATGGAAGTCCTGCATGATTTCCAGATTGGCTTGTAAAGTTTTAATCTTATGGGAGAGGTCTTCGGCGACCTCCTGGACCGACTCATAGCGGGGAAGGAGGTTGAACACTTGATTGACGTCTCTTCCGAAGATGTCTATGCTTCCGAATTCTTCAATCAGCTTGGTCTTGAACGTGTTCCAATCCGTGATGTTGTTGAAGGCTCCAGGATCTGCAGACTTTGTGGAGAAGGTTTAGAGCCCGGATAACTGAGGAGAGGCTCTGCGTGTGATGAAGAAGGCTCAGGATATATTCCCGGGAAGGATTATCAGAGGATAATTTTACGAGGTTGACCGTCTTGATAGGAACCTCACTAGAGGTGATGGAAGAGCAGGGGATGATAGGCCAGGAGGACTTGTCTTGAGGTAGAAAACTACCATTCAACCAGAACCCTGAGTTGACCTGCGCGCAGTTGGTTCCGGATCTGGTGAGTAGATCAGCTGGGTTGAGGTTTCCAGGACACCAGAACCAATTATTGGGAGAGGAAGCAGCTAAGATTTCCATTAGTCTGACTCCGTAAAATACCGGATTCCCAGCTGGATCGTTTTTGGAGATCATTCTCAGGATGATCTCTGAGTCTCCAATGAAGGTAGGAGGGGAGAGAGTGACATTGAAGAGCTCCTGGTTGATCTTCTGCTCCATCCTGGAGGCGAGTAATGCTCCAGCCATTTCAGATTGTGGAGCGGAGAATGCAGATCTCCCCAGAATCTTAGAGGAGCTGGATACAAGGTTGAATTGGCCACCGGAGAAAGCATATACACATGCTCCATAACCTTGTAGGGAGCCATCGAAGAAAATGAATAGTTGAGCTTGGTACTGAAAAATAACCTGTCTGGGAAAACTTAATTCTCTGGTGAGCAGAATTTCTCTGACAGCATCTCTGAACTTAACAGTGCGTTCTTCGGACAGGATTGAGTTGATGGAACATTGTTGATCCCGACAGATTTCACTGAATAGTGCGCGGACAGAGAACATGAGGGGAGCTGCTAAACCTGAGGGATCATAGAATTGACACGCAACGGATAGAACATTCTTCTTGGTGACAGGAATGGATTCATCTTGCAGGAATTCTGAGTCTAAATCCGCGCCGGAAGGAATTCCACAAGACTTTTTATGTAGGTTGAGGCGAAACTTCAAGCTGTATGAGTCCCTGAGCCTGTCCCACGTCATACCCAGATATTTGCTGGTTCCATTTTCTCCGGATTTCTCCCAGGATTTAATAGAGAACCCTCCTCTGTTGAGAATCCTTTCTACTTCTTGCTGTAGAGCGGAGAGTTCACTTGCAGAACTGGCGCCAACTCCTCCGTCGTCGATGTACGTGTCCTCCAGGATTCACTCCTTACATATAATTGATGAACCAAAGGAATTTCGAGTCTTTGCCACAAATTCAGTTTTTGTAAAACCTATATCTTTGCAACCTTATGATGAAAACCTTTGAAATTTCAAACTTACATTATTTGATCTAATAGCATTCATAGTTGGGTTGCAACAATATCGAAAATAGAAAATCCGAGTTTAAGTGGCAAAAACTCAATTCCTTTTAAGGTCGTATACGGACTCTAAAACAATGAATAGAATAAATATAAGTGTATTTCCTTTTTCAAATGTAACCATGTCTTGCTATGTACGAGGTGTGATCGATAAGTTTCGGTAAAAAAGAAATACAATTGTATGCGATAGTCTCAGCCCAGTTTTTATTTTTTTAAAGTTCACTAATATCGGATTATTTTTAGGTCAGTTGATGTTCATCAGATCTTTGATGTAAGATAAGGAGCGTTCTTCCAAAAGTAATTAAGCTTCGTTCGTCACAACAAGAAAATTTTCAGAATGGTCTCAAACTTGATCCATCAGATTCTGTTTTAGGCCCTTTAAGCGCAATAAAAAAAGAGATTGAGTATTGAATGAATTTTTAGGATTTTTCTGGTTTTGATAAACATTAAATATCCATAATCAACGTAATCCCTTGGGTCCTATGTCAGAGATTTTGGGACAAATTTAACCCTGATCTTTGTCATTTTAACTCTTGCTTTACAACTTTGTTAACAATGTAAAAGCATATATCAGGCTGTCTGGCAAACATACTTCTCGAACCCTTGCAAATATAGTTTTACAATATTGAGTCTTGATAGTCTTTTCCTAACCGGACTTGTCATAATTTATCAAACAGTTTTAAATTAGTTCTGGATCATATGTTTCAGGGCTCGGCTTGGTTTTTTCATCGTCTAATAAAACATTTTTTGGTAACAAAGCCTCCAAGTCCAGAGTGTCCCCTTTCTCTGTTTAATATTCTAGATATTCCTTTACTGTGACAACGAAGCAAATCCACCTTCAGGAGAACACTCCTTACATCATAATAACAATATGAATATGTTATATGTATAGTATATATATGTATGATGATGTCGAGTCGTGGTATTTATTTTCTATCTCATACAACCATTTTTACAAAATATTTTAATTTGTAAAAGATCAAACGGGTTAGATAGAGTTTCCCCATTTTTGCATGAATGTTGAATTCAAAAATTAGAATTTATATTTTTACTACACTGCAGTTATTGATGGCCAACTTGGTTCTAGGGTTAAAAGGACTTTTAGATAGTATGATATCTCTTTAGCGTTAACAGTCCATTTAATCAAAATTACCTGAAAGGAACCGAGTCTTTGCCACAAACTCAAATTTTCTAATCCATATTTATCGTTGCAACCTTATGGTGAACACAATTGCTATTTTAAACTCAGAGTTATATATTATCTAACAAAATGCATTGTTTGAAATATCTGATTTGGTTTCAAAGATAAAGGGATAAGAAAATATAAATTAGTTACAAACACTCAATTCCTTTCTTAGTAAATAGTTCTCTTTCAATTAAAAAAATGGTTTGAAAATGGTGTTTATTATAAATCCCTAATAAGCGGGTTGAAAGCTACCAGGCTACTAAGGCAATATAGTTAATGCTTTATGGGGTTTCAATAATAAATCACATTAAGTACAATTATTACTTAGATGTGCATATTCATTACTAAGTGTACATAAATGACGTTGTACAATGTAAATATCAAGTAGGGTTTCCAATCGGAATTCCGTTGCGCGGAATTGCGCGCAATATTTGCTTCCGCAATTTCATCGCGCAGACTTGCGCTATGATTGCGAACAAGGATGCAATTAAATATTCGCGGAATTGCGCGGAGTTGCGTGCATCGGAATTGCTTTTCTATCTAAAAATTAATAATTTTAACTGTGACTCACATATTTATGCAGCAGTTACAAGAATGGAATATCTCTGTAGATTTTAAAAATCACATGTTTCAACAGTTTTCAAATTTTAAAGTTTTTGTGGTTAGGCTACTAATTAACAATTTAATATGATATATTTTAATGGACATCATTTTGTTCGTTTAATCAAAATTAGATATTTTGCTACAGTGAGAACCAGAAAACTATGATACAGAAGGACAACATTACAATGTATTTGATGTTGTTACAAAGCAGAAATTTTAAATGAGTAACTTATTAAGCCAGATTTTCTGGTTTTCATGCTGCATATGAATATCATAAAATAGAAAATAAAGTTTAAATTTGAGACTGTAATGTTAGTGAAGTTCAGTTTATTGTATGCCATTTCCAATGTTTAAATGGAATTTTTTTTGTTATTGAACAGAATTGAGAATTACTTAATTGCATTTATTGCGTGCCATAAGGTTTAAATTAAATATTTTCAAAAAATTGAAACACAAACGCAATTCCGTTGCATTTATTGTGCACAATTATTACGGAATTGCGTGCAATTAAATTCAATTGCGCGCAAGTAAAATCCACTTGCGCTGGAAACCCTAAATATGAACTTAGTTTTTTAACAAAATCAACATAAATTCTTGAGTAAATGCCTAAACTTGAATTCTTATTCAGGATTAAATAGAACAGAGAATTGAAAAAAAATTACGTTTTCAGCTTAATAGGAACTAGATACCTTTGCAAACCAATGTCGTAGACATTTGATATTTTAAACTAAGACTTATTTCTTGAAATATCAATTGATTACACCATCATGATGCAAAGATATAGGGATCCGAAAATTTGATTTTAAGGCAAGAACTCAGTTCCTTTAATTCGTTTAGCTAACTAAACAAATAAGTTTGATTACAATTATTAATAAAACTTGCAAATATGATAATGTGCGCTATATAGTACAATTATTATCTTTATGTGCTGAAGTAGTAAATATGCACACAACCTTGTACAGTGTACATGTACATTGTACAATATAAGATGCAGTCCATATTTTTCACGTGTAATTGTACAATGTACATACAGTACATGTAAACTGTCGTGTAAATTTAATTTTTTTACAAGAAAATTGTATTTATAAGATTAATCTTTTTTTAAATAAGGGTACAAATTTTACTTTTGTATTAATAAATCAGAGAATCAATTGACTGAACTTTTGCGTTTTCAAATCTTTCAGACCTAATCAAAATAAAATTTTAATATATTAAATGGATATTAAGCTAACAATAAACATCAAATCTGTTTTTAAATTGTATAAAAATTTAAATTGAAAAGTTTACGAAAAACAATTTTAAATAAAATAAAACTAACAATTAACATAATCGATAACTCCTAAGATGTGTATTAAAACAATAAAATTTCTAAAATAAATTTGAAATCACAGTTTAATTCAACGTAAATTACATAATTTGAGATTTTAATAATAATTACAATAATAATAATTATAACATTGATAATAAAAATAACCTATTATTTTGTACTATTCGCTTCAACTTTCAACAGGTTAAGTCAGATCTAGGAAAGTATACAAAAAGTTCAAGTTAATTTGTTTTAGGAACATATACGATTAGAATTTATTCTGGCTTAATCTCATGGGCCAAATTATTGCCCGCTTACCTAAATAATTTAGAAAGATTAACCTTAAAGCTATGTTATGGATATATTAAGATCTTGTCTATAGTTTATCAGATTTCAAAATATTTTTCTAAAGCTTGATTTTATCAAAACATGCCAAATCTTGGCTCTTTCAAAATGGTAAAAGCCTGAACGTAGGAACCAATCGTTGATTAACAAACATGACTAACATTCAATTGTCTCTTAGGAGTAAAATTTTGCTCTAAATAAAGACAAAACTTAATGAAACAATTTTGCGACATTTTACACATTTTGACTTTTTGTGAAGACTAAAGAGTATTGGAAGCCAACAAAGAAATGTCTAATTATGATGAAACATTATGCGGTATCCCCATTACTAAATACTTTCAATTATCAATTATAAAATACAATAATTTTCAAATAATTAACTATAAGAATGTGTTTGCATCTGTTACTGGAACGAAAATTGATTTGGTGATTTCTGGTTTGAATAAATAAGTTTGTTGTTTACAACTGCATCTTCTATTTTGACCATGACTGGCAGCATAGTGAGGTAAAATATTAATATCATGAAATTTTGCGTCTTTTCTAAACAAATTGGTTATAAATAAAATAATTAAATAGTATTTATGATAATCTTTCCTATACTTTAAATGGAATGCAAATTTTTAAATGTAAAATAGTAATATGTGCAAAATGAAAGTTTAAATATTGAGAATAAGAGAATTGCATACTGTCTGTCCCCTGCGAACTCTTTCATCAATATTTGTATACTGCGCATGACCGGCTCGCCGCGGGGTTGTACTTCGGAACTCCGGTTGCCGGACCGGAGAACCAGCTTCGGCGCCGATAAACTGCTCGCACGACCGGCTCAGCTGTTGATCAAGGTTGGAGCCGAGGGTTTGCAGACCCTGGGTCAGCTTAGCAAACGGTATGAGAACATTATCGATTGGATTCTTGGAAACATCTTCGGAAGACTTAGATATCTTCCGGGTTCTGTTCAGAGGTCGAGGAGTAGTGAGGTTAAGATCTGTCACAGTTATCTCAGGATGTAAATTATTATGCGCGTTTAGTGAATGAAACTTCGTGTCCTCCGTCCTGTCCTCCTCCTTCTGAAGGTCCGTGAACCTCACCGGGACCTCCTTGTCGTTCCTCATCAGTTTCCCGATAGGATTCATCCGAGAGATCTGGGAGGTCACGTTTGACAGCGCGACGGTTCCGACATTTCTCATCCTGTTGGTTCTACCCTCCTGCTCAGGTCCTGGATCCAAGGGACGGGATCGTTTCTTCTCCAGGTTTCCAAACCACATGTCCGGAACCAGACCAATAGTCTCCATTGCAACAGCCACGGCATCAGCGATAGATTTTAAACTCTCAACCTTTTCCTCCTCGGAGGATATAATCACCGCCATATTGTTAAAGAACCTAAATATAATCTTCTACATTATCTAATTTAAAGGAATTGAGTCTTTGTCAAAAACTAAAATTTTCTAATTCATGTTTGCAACTTGGTGCGTAAACCTTTAAATTTTAAATTTGTATCATTTGATCTAACAGAATTCATAGTTTGAAATATATAAGGTTTACAACATTAGGCTGCAAAGATATAGAGATTAGAAAAATAGATTTTGTGGTAAAGACTCAAATCATGATTTTTTTAAAAATTCAATTCAAATTTACTTTAAAAAGGCTTGATCAAATTAAAATAGCTGTTGAAATTATAAGATATTAACTAAATCTAAACAGGCTTAACTAAATCTGAACAGGCTTAACTAAATCTACTAAAATGGCAATTAAGTAAAGGTATAAAAAAGGGCTTAACTTAATGTAAAATTACTTAACTTCATTTAAAATGACTTAACTAAAAGTAAAATGGCTTAAATTAACTAAATTTTTATAAAATGGCTTAACTAAATGTAAAATGGCTTAACTAAATGTAAAATGGCTTAACTTATCTTTATAAAATGGCTTCACTAAATGTAAAATGTCTTCATCTATATAAAATGGCTGCATATAGTTCATAAATATCATTTTCTCTGTACTGTACTGTGATGTATACCTAAGGTTTGTAGATCTGTACATATGAAAGAACCCAGTGACGTCACCAATCTTGTAATGTATCCTAAACATTCAAAATATTGATTTAGAAATGAAATTTGGATATATACGGGGGTAGCTCTGATGGTAGATAGGGTATATAGCATATTATTAGATATAAAGTTCTTCGTGTCTAACTAGCAATCTGGTCACAATCTTAACATAAAGAATACAAGGTTCTTCTGCACTTGCCTTGAGTTTGACCGCGAGAGTGCGCGGGTCAAACAATTTTCTGATCTTTCAGCTCACATCATGGTTTTTTTTCTCAATTCTGTATTAACTGCCTAGCCTGCTTTTTGATTGCCAGATTCATGGTAAATTCAAAGATAGTAATATTTGACAATTCAGACACTTAGACATAAAAAAGATATAAAAGTTAAAACATGAAAACATATTTTTAACTTTTTGTTGCAAGGGATCTAACCACCCCTTAGCTAGGCTTGACATACTACTGCGTACAAACATGCACACAGGCTGGTTTCACACAGACATATGTTTCCTTTCTTATTCATCTAAAATTCATATTTTCTTGTTCATTGTCGTCATAAATTAAGTATGATATAAAAAGTGTAAAGTGTCGTAACTTTTACGTGAAATCCAAACTATTGGGATCACAAATGGCTATCAACTAATGTCCAAGATATTGGGATTGGGCTTGGTTCTGGAATAAGGTATATGAATGAGATTGGGAGTATAAATATTAGTATTGGTATTTAAATATGTTTGGTAGTTAGATATAATCTATTAGTATTTAAATATGTTTTGAAGTTAGATATAATCTATTAGTATTTAAATATGTTTTGTAGTTAGATATAATCTATTAGTATTTAAATATGTTTTGTAGTTAGATATAATCTATTAGTATTTAAAAATGTTTTGTAGTTAAATATAATCCATTACTATTAAAATATGTTTTGTAGTTTTGTACATTGGTATGTTCTTTTCTGCATTTTATATGTTCTGTGTGATATATATTTTGTTATGATATTTATTTGATAAGGCTGTACTCTTAAATTGGATTCTTTATAATAATTTTCAGAAAGTTCACAGGATACGTTACTGAAAGTTCTTTTTCAAAAGAACTAATCTTTAAGCTTTCAATAACAGTCTAATAGAAAGTGACCATGGCTATAAATAAAGGATAAATATTGGGATTCATTATATACCTGCACATCTTTTTACTATCTATGATTGCTGCATAAGTCAAAAATCGTTATTCAAAAATCACAAGGCTAAACAATTTTATGGGTTTGCAAGATACGATTTAAAAAAAAATCATTTTATAACCCGAATAAAAAGCGTAAAAAATTCTTATTTTTGAGTGTGCCTTGAAAATACATATTCACTGGACAGTACCTTTGGCTCTGTTACCTGAAACAATGTTGATCCTTTGTTTTGTTCTGCATGAATGAAAGGTTGAATGACTGTTCGACGGCCCCGAACTCTATCCTGGTGATGTCTGTGAGAGGAACCTGCTGGTAGTCCACTATCTTATCCTCCTCCTCATCATACCTAAACCAAACATGAGGATTTTTTTAACTAGTAAATCCCACTCTTGTCTATATAATAAAACAAGACATTAGTATATATATGTTGTCTATAGTCAGCCAAACGAAATTTTTTTTATAAAATTCTATCAGAATTCAGAGTTTGAAATATCTAAGGACAATGGGTTGCAAAGATATAGAGACGAGAAAGTTTGCGCTTGTGGCAATGACTCAGTTCCATCCGAAATCTCCATGTGTTAGCATAAGAGTCTCTTACGACTCCTCCCATATTGGTTACTTTGTATCTACAGTGCATAAATGATCATTTATTATAACTACCTGGCAGTGTAGTATGAGTCAGGGGTTAGAATAAAGACGACATCCATTCCCTCCTGCGCTGGATCCCCGGATACAGGATCTGCATCAATAAGACCCCAAGCTCCCAGGGCTAATGATATATCATGCATCAACAGTTTCTTACAGTCCTCTATAACCGCCTTGATCTGGTCTGTACTAACACTAGCATCAGGATCATCAATAGGTTTATCTTCTATTTGTTGCATCATCTCGTCCGAGATACCGTGTCCGGTAATAATATCAATTGCCGCTTGCCTGTAGGTATCCTTGATGTGGTTTAGATAATACCTGCTGGCGGAGTTGACTCCGTCCTTGACGAGCCCGGAGAGGTTCCTCTCCCCAGTCCTAGTGTAGTCCCCCTTCAGGGCATTAGTTCCTGCATATTGTTTACTGATACTATCTCCGTTATTGGCCCACACAGACTGGAATACGGACTTCTCAGAGGAACAGAGTCCAACTTCAGGCTGGACCACTCCAAGCTTGGACAGCTGGATTTCTAGAACCTTCCGAGCAATGGCGGTCTGGACCACGTTCGTTCGGTCCAGGCAGTCCACACAGTTGGTCCGGAATATTCCCTCCTGTTCCAGTACCTACATTCAGATAAATTATTATTAATATTAATATTAGTATTCATTGCGTAAACATGCACAAATTAAATAATTGGTACAATTAAACAGACACAGAAAATTTAAAAGATAAAATATTAAAAAATACAAATATTAAAGCAAAAATATATTGGGAGAAAAAATCAATTATCAATCAATCAATCAGAGTTTTAGGAAGTGCATATCAAATTTATAATATCGACAAGCTCAGTTTGGTCAAATACACCAATAACAATATTTTTTCTTCTTCAGAATTTGTGAAATTAAAAATGGAATCCACCATTCTTTATCCATTATCCATATATGCTCGTTTCATAACAGTTATATCTATATAAATTTTTAATCTTGGTTTGTTTGGATGTCCGATCATAACTTAGAAACTATGAGTACCCAGGGCAAGGCTGGGTTCTCTAGCTAGTAATTTAATAAAAACAGATTGTTGTTGTAAATGATTACAAATCATTCAGCGCGTTTGCCGCGGAGTTAGTTCAGTTCAGTTTTAAAACCAAATTCAAACTATTTCAATAATTTCAATATAATTTCTAATTTCATCTTTGCTCCTCAGAAATTTAGAAAAATAAGAAATTTTGATGTTTGAAGAATAAAAAGGTATACAGATGATCAATTTACTGCTTAAATCCCTAAATCTTTGCAACCCGAAGTCGTAGACCTTAAATAGCAAAAGTTTACATCACCAGGTTGCAAAAATGTAAATAGGGTCTAAAAATACTATTAAATGTATGTATTGTGTATGTCATCAAAAAATATTATGATGTTATAAATGTAGATAATAATAAAAATACTATTGAATGTATGTACTATGTATTGTGTAATGTGTATGTCATGAAAAAGTATTAAATAGTTATAAATGTAGATAATAATAAAAATACAATTAAATGTATGTATTGTGTATGTCACGAAAAAGAATTATGATGTTATAAATGTAGATAATATTAAACCTCCGTAAAATAAATCAAAAACTTCCAAATTCCTCATTAATATTATTTGGACAGATTAGAATGAAAATATTTATTAGAAATATGTTCTTAGAAAATACTTATTATTTTGTTGAGAATTAGAGAATATTTGACGATATTTGAAGTTAATCTATTTATTGTAATATTAAGCTTCCAACTTGATAACGATAAATTTGGTTTTGAGAACAATATAGAAATAGGGAAAACAGCCTAGAATTACATATAATAATATATATTAACCGTTTTCTTAAAAATAATTATTTTATCATTTCTTTATTAATGCACGTCAAAATAAAGCATTAAAAAATTGGTAATGACAAATTTATGTTTTGTCTCCGGCGATTAAAAATATCACGGGATAACGCCGGGTACATACCTTTCCATGATTATCAACCCAGAAGTATCCAACCCTCTGGACCAGCTCGTCAACTGTATCCAGGAGAATACCGACATTCTCGAACCTCATCCCTCGACAGTGCTCGTGAAAGTCGAAGGAAATGTAGGACATCATCGGTTGATTATATATCATTACATGCTCTAGACATCAGACAAATCAAAATATAAAATATACATTTAAAATTCGGTGCTGGTGATGAACCAAACCTCTGTAGAGTAAAAAAGTAGATGTGAGTTCCACATTTATTGAAAATATATTTCGGTCTGGGTTGACCCTCGTCAGTTCTTGAGATTGTTTCTTCAAAAAAAGTATGATAATCTCAGGGAATTAAAAATAGATAAAAACCAAAATTGAAGAGGGGTTAGGATTAAGGATACTTTATATATTTATTTAACTGAAGAAAACCGTATTAAGGGTCGTATAAGATAATAGAGAGAAAGAGAAACAAAAATAAAGTTAACAGGCAATCTATCCTATTTATCACAAGGAAATAAAAAAGAACTATTTCAATTCCTGATAATAAAACTCTTTACTAGATTCATCTAAATTTCTTAACATTTTTGAATAAATTGTAAATTTTATTGACTTGTTCCTAAGTAAGAATCCGCGAGTATTTTCTCTCGTCCGGTCCGATCAACAAGACTTATACAGTTCACACAACCGCCATATGTTTGGAAGAGAGCGTTGAAGTGGGCGGAGAAAGCCAGCTGATTCTCCACCTCGTCCTTGTGTATTCGGGGGGGAGGGCGGTACTTTAAACCAGGCTGAGACCAGTATAAAGGAATAGAGCCACGAAGTTGAACAAAACTAAACAACACGTTTTTTTTTACAAAGAAATACAAGTTTTTCATTTAACATAAACAAATCTAAAAGCAATACAAAAATATTTGAATTCAATATAAATAAAAACTACAAACAATCTTTTTTACAAAGAAATACAAGTTTTTCATTTAACTTGCTTTAAGTTGAAGCAAAGAACTTGGAATTTTGGCATAATAATTGTCTCCGGTTACAAGAGAAGTAAAAAATTCGGACATTTTTTGTTTGTATTCCAGAAATTGAAACATTAAAGAAATACAGGAAAGCGCAGACTTGTATTATCTCTTTAAGGAAAAGTAATATTTGTTGAAAACAATTAAACTTTTAGAAACAAAACATACTGGAGAAAAATTGGTTAATGTAAGTTTAATTTTTTAACGATTCTAAATATTTCAACAATACATAGTTCAAAATACACTGGGTATCTGCTAAACAAATGGAATATAGATGAACAACAACCTATTTGTGCAAAAATATCTTTTGAACTATGGTAGTGGTAACCATATTCCAGATTATTTTGTGGACCACTCTATGACAAGATGGCTGACCTGAGAGCATATGTATGGTATAGGAGAATCTGTTCGGTTTCTACAAAGTTTGCCACGTGACCATCTACATCAACTCCTCGTCTCTTGTACCGTGTACCGGCACGGTACTGTGACCTCCTGTACAGCACAAACTTAATACACTTATTTGATTGACGCGTGAATTGTACCGGTCCGCCTTTTTCAGTACCGTACATGTCTTATCAGGGGTGTAAGAATATTGTAATTTAAGGATATCATATTTTCCAGTTTTATCACAGAACACAATAATCATATATCTATAATTTTTTCTTCAACTTAACTGATTTGGTATATAATGCAATGATTATTGAATATTTTTATTACAGACAAATGATAAAATTTTAACTTTTAAATCTTAATTCATAAAATCAATTATATATATATAATATATATATAAATAGTATTGTCTGTTTGTGTGTTTGTTTTTATGTCCGATCATAACTCAGAATACCTCTCAACCGATTTGCCTCAACTAATTAAAGAACTCTATAATTTAAAAGGTCTAAGTTGAATAGCTTTGTTTCTAAGCAAAGCTGGGTTCACAAGCTTGTTTTGTAATAAAAACAGTTACAATTTATCTAGAAATAATTAAAAAATAATAGAATAAAACTTAACTTGAGATAAGGATAAGAGTATAGAAATGAGGAAGTTTATTTTCTGGAACCTGCTGGAGCTCCTCAACAAAGCTCTCATTCAAGTTGCACTGCTTGATCTCCACGAACCCCTGGATGACCGGTAGGATCCAGGTATCCGACCTTACATCATTCAGATCCAAGATTCCCTGGAGCATTGACTTGTTGAAGAAAAATCTATCATCTACACTTCTACGAACTGTTTGTCCTTGGGTATTCTCCCGTCCAGCATGCTGTCGTTGCATGCTGTTCGTTAAGTCACCGTTAAACGAAAAATAAAACGAGGAGGATTCGTTGAAAAGCTTTAAAAGTTCTTCGTGTAAACGCTTTTCCAACTTTTCTAAATTTCTTGATCCGTTTTCTCGCTTCCAGGGCACCTTTACTTGGCTGGCAAGTCCAGCGGCGGCGCTACCCGCCGAAAATTTTAAAGTGTTTCCCGCCGTTTTTATTTTCCCGCTTAATCCCTTGAAAGGAAATTTATTCTGTGGCTCCAACGACTCTGTGAGATCAATGTTTCCTGCAAAAAAAATTCCTGAATATTTATCAAATTTATCGTCAATAGACTAATATAAATGTATTTGATAATATTTATAGATATTGTTGAATATTCAGATAATATTCATAGATATAGTTGAATATTCAGATAATGTACATAGATATTGTAGAATAATCAGATAATATTCATATATATAGTTGAATTTTAAGATATTATTCATAGATAAAATTAAATACTCAGTTAATATTCATATATATAGTTGAATATTAATATAATATTCATAGATATAAATATTCAGATGGATTCATAGATATAGTCGAATATTCAGATAATTTTATAGATGATGGAGAAGCTGAAGTTGGATTATTTCTTTTAATACTGTTTTTGACACACTGTAATAATAACTTTTTTATTATTTTTGTTTGGAACACATTAACCTGTATAGTTAGGACACATTAACTTGAATATTTGGGACAAATTAATCTGTAAAGTTAGGACACACTAACTTGAATGTTTGGGACCTATTAACCTGTAAAGTTAGGACACATTAACTTGAATGTTTGGGACACATTAACCTGTATAGTTAGGACACATTAACTTGAATGTTTGGGACCTATTGACCTGTAAAGTTAGGACACATTAACTGGAATGTTTGGGACACATTAACCTGTATAGTAAGGACACATGAACTTGAATATTTGGGACACATTAACCTGTATGTTTGGGACCCATTAACCTGTATAGTTAGGACACACTAACCTGTATGTTTGGGACAAACAATCCTGTGCGTTTGGGACACACTAACCTGTATATTTGGGACACATTAACCTGTATGTTTGGGACCCATTAACCTGTATAGTTAGGACACACTAACCTGTATGTTTGGGACACACTAACCTGTATGTTTAGGACACACTAACCTGTATGTTTGGGACAAACTAACCTGTATGTTTGGGACAAACTAACCTGTATGGTGTTTGGGACACACTAACCTGTATGGTGTTTGGGACACACTAACCTGTATGGTGTTTGGGACACACTAACCTGTATGTTTAGGACACACTAACCTTATGTTTGGGACAAACTAACCTGTATGTTTGGGACACACTAACCTGTATGTTTAGGACACACTAACCTGGATGTTTAGGACACACAAACCTGTATGGTGTTTGGGACACACTAACCTGTATGTTTAGGACAAACTAACCTGTATGTTTGGGACACATAAACCTGTATGTTTGGGACACACTAACCTGTATGGTGTTTAGGACACACTAACCTGTATGTTTAGGAAACACTAACCTGTATGTTTGGGACACACTAACCTGTATGGTTGTTGGGACACACTAACCTGTATGTTTAGGACACACTAACCTGAATGTTTGGGACAAATAAACCTGTATGTTTGGGAGACACTAACCTGTATGTTTATGACACATTAACCTGCATGTTTGGGACACATAAACCTGTATGTTTGGGACACATAAACCTGTATGTTTGGGACACATAAACCTGTATGTTTGGGACACACTAACCTGTATGGTGTTTGGGACACATAAACCTGTATGGTGTTTGGGACACACTAACCTGTATGTTTGGGACACACTAACCTGTATGTTTAGGACACACTAACCTGTATGTTTGGGACAAACTAACCTGTATGTTTGGGACAAACTAACCTGTATGTTTGGGACAAACTAACCTGTATAGTGTTTGGGACACACTAACCTGTATGGTGTTTGGGACAAACTAACCTGTGTTTGGGACACACTAACCTGTATGTTTGGGACACATAAACCTGTATGTTTGGGACACACTAACCTGTATGGTGTTTGGGACAGCTTTTAAGTGCTGGATCTGGGAATGATTGTGTGGATATAGGGATCAGTACAACAGTTCTTATTCTGAAATGAATAGAATTATTTCAGGGGCAAACCTAGAAATATATTAGAGGAAAACATTTATATTAACATTTTTAACCACGCGATCGTCTGTGGAAAGAGTTAGCGTTTTATTACCTAATTTCAATGGTCTTAATAAAGCTACGTTTACTACAGTTTATTTTATTTAAACGGTGAAAGGCTGTTTTGTTATTCTGCTAAACGTTAATGGTCTGTAACATTTCTACAAGATAAAATTTGTACTGTTTATATATAGCGATTTCTCATTTTACATGTATAACAGTACGCAATCAAAACGTAAACAAACAAATTCTTAACTCTAGCAGACTTAACCTTTACTAATTAAAGCTTGCTTATCAAACATCACCATAATAAATCAACAAATCAAATACAAAGACGATATCAAAATCAAATACAAAGACGATATCAAAATCGTTACTCAATTCCAATGTAAATTCGAACACCCTGTATATTCCAACACTTCCTCTAAATTCCTCCTTGAATTATTTATTTCTCCCACATAATCTTCTTTCAAGTATGTACGTATTTATATTGTACAGTGTACACACTATATAAATATTAATGAAGAATACTTGAATAAAAAATAAAAAAAGCAAAAGAAGTTTCTCTAATGCTTTATGTAAAAAAGTTAGCAGCAGTCTTAAACAAGTAATATTCAACACTTTCATTTGTGAATATTAGAATTTTTCAAAATTGGAAATTAGAGGAAGTTTCAGAATATTTTAAGTTTAACCAATCGATTTCACGGTTTCCAACATGAAAAAAAGTATTGCTGAGAAAATATGCTGTTATATCAATTTCCTGGATTTGTAATTATAACTTTTTAAAATGTTTGTTATAATTATCGCAAAATCGAAAAAAATGCTTATTTTTATTACAACATATTATAAAAAATATTAAAATATAGACTACAGATGAAAGTCAAGGAAAAAAAATTTCTTGAACACTATAACAGAAAAATCCGGGAAAATTTGAGAAAGTTTAAAAAAGGCCAAATTTCATAGCAATAGATATAGGCTACATTTTATTATACTAAAGGGCGCGAAGCGCACAAAAAGCCCAATATTAAAATGTAGTAAAACAAACCTGTAAACTGGGTTGAAACCGGAAAGATCTGGTTCTGGTAATTCCCCCAATCTAAACAGAGAAAACTTAATTTGAGAAAACATTATTTTTATTGCAATGCACGAGGGCTTAAATATTATGCCCTATAAGCAAAACAAACAACATAACCTAAAAATAAAACAAGCCTGTGGTTCTTTATATATATATATCTCACAATACTTTATTTTCATATTGAATTGTTTTCTGTATTATTAGCTGAATTGCCCGGCTTTGCCCGATATCCGTGGAATAGACTGTGTCACCCCTAGTTTACCCATGGGTTTACTCAAATAATTTGGTCCAGCCGTTTGGCCAGCTTTGGCTAACAAATATATATGTATCGTTAGAGGAAGTACTGATGGGTGTGACTTCGTAGGGGGACTAGAATATCCCCTGAAGTTTCGTTTAATAATAATAATATGTATATATTATACATACTAATATTTAACCTATATAGTAAGCATGCTTTCAGATCATTTTTCATCTTTCTTTAGCCTTTTCTGTAAAATTGAGGTCTCCTCAAAAAACTCTGCTCCCCCCCCCCACCTCTCTTATCCCGCGGAATTTTTATAAAATATGTTTTTTGGAAAACTTTAAAATTTAGATTGAATTTATTTTGTTTTCAACCTTTATTTCTGGAATATATGTACACCCTTCAAAATCTAATATTTTTGTATTGTGTACACAGATTCACTTTTGTTTGTCTAGTATATATATTGAATATTTATATATATATATATATAAAAATATTACATATACAATATGAATGTAAACTATATACTAAAATGATTTATTATATCGGAATAACCGGAATATATCATATTTACATAATGAACCGTTTAATCAGGAATATTACTGGTTAAATTGTTTTTTTTTTTCCCGGGGGGGGGGGGGTAGGTGGATTTTTGAATTTAGGCATTCAGCAGCTTCGTAATTGACAAAAATGTGCACATTTCAAAGTATTCGAACACTTGCTGCAAACTCTTATTTTCTAATCCCTTCATATTTGTAACCTGTCCGTGTCCTCATTTGATTTTTTAAACGTTGACTATTTGTTCTATCAGAGTTCATAATTTGAAATATCAATTAGATCTATGATCTCAAGTTGCAAAGATATAGGGATTAGCAAATAAACATTTGTGGCGAGTATTTATTTTTATTAAACTTAGCATACTTTTTTTGTGACGGTAATGTTTATGACAAGCTGTAAAGAATGTGTGTGCAAATCATGTAACTAAATTGTAAAATAGGTAATTAAAAAGACAACAAGACAAACATCGTCAATTAAACAGACTCAAAGCCTTAAAAAATCTAAAACAACCATTTTTTCCGCATAAAAGGTTAAAAATCCAAAATTTCAGTCAAATGAAAATTTTCGGTTTACTTTAAATATAAACTTTCAATCTTCTCCTAAAATTTAAATTTTCCTTAGTTTTTTATTCCGCATGTCCCACCCAGTTTTATCCAATAGTTGTTACACTCTGAAAGCGACTGTAAGCATAATTTCAAGGGACCTTTAATTTAAAGAGAAGAATCCTCGATTCACAAAGGTAACCTTTAAACCTTTAATTTATAGAGGAGAATCCTCGGTTCACAAAGGTAACCTTTAAACCTTTAATTTAAAGAGGAGAATCCTCGGTTCACAACGGTAACTTTTAAACCTTTTATTNAATAATAATAAATGATAATAACAATAATAATTATAACAGAGGATAATAAAAACAACAATAATAGTGTTTTTAATGTCCCCAACTTGTCAGTATTGGAGCTATTTCTAATAAGAATTGTAATAAATATATTTATGGTTCTGAATATTATATATTTATGTAGTTGACACATCATTATAGTTGTATACGCAAATTCTAAAGGAATCTACTCACATGGATAAATATTATATTCATAAATACCATATGATTTATAAGGGGTGTATGTTTTCTTGAAAATAATTTCCACTAAAAAAGTCAGGTAATTTAATAAAAAAAATTTTAGGGGTAAACATTGAAAAAATTTTGATACAAAGTATCAAATTGGTTGAAAAACTTGCTTTTTGATGTTCTTTTCTTCACTCCCCCCCCCAGGATCATCAAAAATCATTTCCCCGCAATGCCAATTTAAATTTTCTACACTTCTTTACTACTGCCAACCCAGTCACGTGAAACCAATGCAAATATCTAATATTGTAGAGCTATATGATAAGTAAAAATGTTTTGAATTTCTAATATGTAACCGTATATTTGCTTTACTACTGCCAACCCAGTCACGTGAAACCAATGCAAATATCTAATATTGTAGAGCTATATGATAAGTAAAAATGTTTTGAATTTCTAATATGTAACCGTATATTTGCTTTACTACTGCCAACCCAGTCACGTGAAACCAATGCAAATATCTAATATTGTAGAGCTATATGATAAGGAAAAATGTTTTGAATTTCTAATATGTAACTGTATATTTGCTTTTCTCATAATTTTTATTTAAACTAAAACTAGAAGAGCTACGAGGTCACAAAGTTGCAAAGTATTGTCGAATACATCCTCATGAATATTTAACGAGTAGTGCTTCCCCCCCCCCCCTTTGCAACAGATCGAGAAGGTTAATAATGTTGCCAATGCAGCTCTGCGAAGATGAGGTAAAAGTAGAGTCACTTTTTATGATTGATAGTTTTATTTTCAATGATTTTTCCATTTTATTACTCTGAGTGTTCCTAAAGATAAAAGTTTTCCTATAAATCTGTTGATTGGTTTTTGAATCCATTTCATCAAAGAAAACTTATATATTAGAAACAAAATCGTTATCATATCCTTTACTCAATAAAACTAGAACATATGATGTAAAAACTGTTTAGTTGGGTCTGCAGTAATTTTAATGATAGAAATTCAGTATTTGTTAACAAACTCAAGGTTTGCTCTTATCATGGTTTTTTATTCCAATATTTATTTATTTTTAAACAGAAGATAAAATGTAAGGACAAAAGATAAATTAAAATGTGAGGAATAAAAGAAAATTGACAGAATTTATCTCTCCCCACAACAAACATATAGGTTTGAAGAATACCGTTGTGCATTATCAATAGTTTAACTGGAAAATAAGGAAAGAAATTATCTATAAATCTAGGGCAAACAATAAATCAGAATCAGGGGAATATTATTTTAACACCTACAGTCTACAGAAAATACAGTTGTGGGGACATTTTCCTCAATATAATATGGCAATAATATTGTACTATATGTTTTAAAAGGGACTGTAAAGGTAGTTTAAAGTGACCCTCCAAACAAAGATCGCTGAACTGCTGAAAAGAAATTCCCTTATCTCTCAATGGCTTTTTAAGTTGTAGCATAAAGATAAGTGAAAAAGAAAGAAACATAATTCAAAAATTCTTGTTCTGTTATAAAACCAGGAAATCTCTTAGTGGTGCATGATTTCAATTTAAATATTAGTGGTGCATGATTTCAATTTAAATATCAGGGGTGCATGATTTCAATTTAAATATTAGGGGTGCATGATTCCAATCTAAATATTAGTGGTGCATGATTTCAATTTAAATGTTAGTAGTGCATGATTTCAATTTAAATATTAGTGGTGCATGATTCCAATCTAAATATTAGTGGTATGCATGATTTCAATTTTAATATTAGTAGTACATAATTTCAATTTAAATGTTAGTGGTGCATGATTTTAATTTAAATATTAGTAGTACATAATTTCAATTTAAATGTTAGTAGTGCATGATTTCAATTTAAATATTAGTGGTGCATGATTCCAATCTAAATATTAGTGGTGCATGATTTTAATTTAAATATTAGTAGTACATAATTTCAATTTAGATATTAGTGGTGCATGATTTCAATTTAAAAATTAGGGGTGCATGATTTCAATTTAAATATTAGTGGTGCATGATTTCAATTTAAATATTAGTGGTGCATGATTTCAATTTAAATATTAGTGGTGCATGATTTCACTTTAAATATTAGGGGTGCATGATTTAAATTTAAATTTTTGTAGTGCATGATTTCACTTTAAATATTAGTGGTGCATGATTTCTATTTAAATATTAGTGGTATGCATGATTTCAATTTAAATATTAGTGGTATGCATGATTTCAATTTAAATATTAGTGGTGCATAATTTCAATTTAAATATTAGGGGTGTATGATTTCAATTTAAATATTAGGGGTGCATGATTTCAATTTAAATATAAGGGTGCATGATTTCAATTTAAATATTAGTGGTGCATGATTTCAACTTAAATATTAGTGGTGCATGATTTCAATTTTAATATTAGGGGTGCATGATTTCAATTTAAATATTAGAGTTGCTTGATTTCTAATTAAATATTAGTTGTGTATGATTTCAATTTCAGTGTAAAACTTTAGCAGTGTATAGTGAAGGTACAGTGTATAGTGAAGGTACAGGCACATTTGTATTCTAAACTTAAAGTTTCAAATTGGACATTGGTGGAATAGAGAGTTCCAGGTGTTTAGAAATTTTGTACAATTTTGTCAAATAAATAATATATTTATTAATATATAGACAAGAGGATTAACATATCACTTAACAAGCAGGCAGGAGTATCTGATCATGTGGTAGTATTAGCTGATCCCTTAACTGATTAGACAAGAGGATTAACATATCCCTTAACAAGCAGGCAGGAGTATCTGATCATGTAGAAGTATTAGCTGATCCCTTAACTGATCAGACAAGAGGATTAGCTCATCACAAAGATGATCAGGCAGGAGGTTTGACTAATCTTATTCGCTGATCACTGATCAGTAAAGAGGATTAGTTGATCTCTTAGCTAATCAGACAAGAGGATAAGCCGATCCTATTCTTATTGCTGATCAGACAGAGAACTTTAGAATGGGGTATCCTTAATTCTGATCGCTTAATCTGAATATCCAATGTACACACTTTTGATTTTCTTATTAATCCTTTATGTTAGTTTGAATATCTGTGCTGCACTGTATTAAAGTTACATTTGATGCAAATACAGATACAGTGCTATATCAATTGGACTAATATCAGATTGAACAATTATGATCAATTGCACAGTATGCTGTTCACAAAC